GGAGAAGCTGTTTGGTGGGAGATGAACCACTAAAGTCACTCTCCTTCCCACTCAGTAACTTACAGAGCAGCTGCAAAGTGCCCCTGGGGAACATGTTGACACGGTGCTGTCTGCATGGTCCAGAGACAGAGGCTCCCATCTGGGCTGGCACTGGCAACAGGATGGGCTCCTGGCCTGGCTGGTGTCTGCACACTCACTGCAGCATCCCTGTCCTCACCTGGAAGGCCAGCCCGTCCCCCCGTGTGGCTTGCTGCAAAGGGACACAGGTGATCACAGCATTGTCTGAGGATGGAGGACCACCAGCACCACCCCTGGTGAACACACACCACCTCTGGGTGCAGCAGCTCCTTGGCTGTGCCCAGCAGCTCATGCTGGTGGCCAGTTCCCACTACCTTGTTAATCTCCTTGTGTCTCTCCTTGCTGACAATTTCTTCCAGGACTTCTCCGTCTCCCTTAATGAGCCTGGAAGACAAGCACAAGCCCACGAGCCTTGAGAGCTACTGGCAAGTTCCTGCAGCTGCAGAAGGTGCTGACCCCCACCCCACCCTGAGCCCCCAGCTCCCTCACAGCCCAGGACCAGGTGCTGGGCTGATGCACCTCTAGGCAAAGCCAGTGATGACCTACCCCTGACATTGCATTAGGTGACTTTTTTTTTGGCTGTATCAAGCTTAAATAGCACAGCAGGCTTTTCCATTGCTCCCATGGGATTAATGTCACCACACTACAGTAAGGACAGGTGCAGTCCCCTGAGAAATCAGCATGGGTCAGCCAGCCCTGCCCCAGGCTGTGGGTACTGCCTGCTGTGTGCAGTCACACTGCCATGAGAAAACACATAATAAAAGCATCTCCTGCCACCCCAAAAATCTGCAGGCTTCACTGTCAACAGCAGTGCCCCAACCCCTGCAAAGCCTTTTCCTTTCATTAGAGAGTTCAGGTGTGTTCCTGGCTGCCCAGGAAACTGCAGAGCCATTGAGGAACAGGAGCCAGTTTGGGCCTGAAATGCAGCCAGGCTGGGGAGCATCTTGCTGAGCAAATTCCAAGCAGTGTTGGAGGCAGCTCACACCTCCAAACACGAACAGAAATTTAATTGTCTTCATTACGTGCCTTACAGGGAACCGACCTTTGTTCCACACCTCCCTGAGCCCTGCAGGCTGCCTTCTATTTTAAGACTGGACTTGTCATACCCAATTCTCTTCAGCATGATGTTTTCTGCTGGCTGAGAAGACGCAGTTTATTAAAAACTGGGTCATTTCTATTTGGCAGCTAAATGAACTTGGGTTTGATTGTTGTCTGTAACCCCACAGGGCACACGCTCCCTCCTCACTTGCACCCGGAGCTGAAAGGTGAGTGGATGCAGCAGTGGGATGCTGGGACACAGCCCAGTGTCCCTTGTGTGGAGCCCCAGCACAATTTGATAATTTGGTGTCACTTTCTGGGTAAGTTACACCAGGTCTGACAGGAGGGGACCTGTGCAGGGTCAGCTCAAGCCTTTGCTGCTCAAGGGAACCTGGGTCCACACATGGTACTGCAGTGCCATGGACAGGCGTCCTCCAGAACTCCAACCCACGCAGCATGGATAGGGAAGGACAACCCCCCTCCTTTCTCCCCAGGGATCGTACCTGGTTCTCCCTGTTTCGGGATCCACGACTCTCCTTATGACACTCTGCCTCGCGTCCCATTCTTCCTTTGTCATTGGCTTCATAGCCTGGATCCGGGATTTCTGTTCATCTGTCAAAACTGGAATGCACTGGTCAGTCAGAGCCACCTCCCAGGGCCAAATCCAGGCACAGCCCTGCGGCTGCAGCCAATGGACATACATCCCACACCAGATTCCTGGTGGTACTTGGGGATCAGTGGTGAACCACACAAAGGAAGGGCCACTTCACATCCCAAAGGCAGGACCAGCTCTGCCAGGATGTTACTGCTGACTCTGTCCTTCTATCTTTGTTCCCCACTCACACCTATGAACTATATCTGAACACTTCACGAAAGAACATCTCAGTGTGGCTCCTACATTTACTTGGTGTGGCTCAAAGGTGGCCACAGTATGTAGGAGGGAGGAGAGCCTGGGGCTCCTCCCTGTACACAGCCCTGCTTCCCTCAGACACCTCACGGGGTCCCAGGAAGGGATCAGCACAACTCCAGTGTGCACAGGCTTCCAGGAGGGAAACACTGTCATTACCTGGCCCAGAGTCCTCCACTGATTCCTTCTGCCACTGCTCCAGCGAGGGGCCAGGCACCTCTTCTCCCTTGGCTTTCTCCTCCTTAGCCTTTTCCTTTGCCTTCTTTTTAAATTTCTTTTTTAATTTCTTCTTCTTCTTCTTCTTTTTTTTCTTGTCTTTCTGTTTCACTCGCTTTTTTTTGCCATGTTGACTCTTCTTTGTTTTGGAGTCACTGTCACTGGAGTCGTCAGAAGAGGGGCTGGAGGAAGAGGAGGATGAGGAAGAGCTGGTGGATGAAGATGCTGTCTCAGAGGAAGAGGTACTGGCCTTCCTCTTCTTTTTGTCCTTTCCTTCCTTCTTCTTCTCTGCAATACATAAGCAGAGGGTGAGTGGAGCAGCTCTGGCCCTGCAGCAGCAGAGATGTTGGTTACCCCCCTCCCAGCCTGGTTTCTTTCTTGCCTGGAAGACCCTTCTGTTGCCAACACTTTTACCACATGATGGTGTGTGGTGCTGCAGTGCCAGACTGGCATGTGGAGGGGCTGCAGGGCTCTGCACTTGACAGAGTGAGACCAAAATGGGCACAAAGTGCAGGGCAAGGTGACAGAGACCGATTTAGCTTAACCCAGGGACCTTCTTCTCCCATCTGGACCCCTCTGTGCACCCACCCCAGGAAAAACACGGAGTCATGGGCCTTTCCCACCTTCCCTGGCTGCTGCCGAGCTTGACTTGTGTCCATGAGAGCCAGCGTTCCTCTTCCTTGAAGGAGAGCTGCTGCCCTGCTGTGAGTCCTTGCTGCTTTTCCTCCTTTTCTTCTCCTTCCTCTCCTGCCTGCTCCGAGAGCTGCTTTTGCTCCTGCTCCGCGACCGCTTCCGAGACTGGCTGTGGGCCATGGTCAGCCTGGAGGGGACAGGGACATCAGTGCCATGGGGGGACCAACCCCCAAAAACCTTAAATCCACCTCCGAGCCAACCAGCCCTGTTCCTGTCAAACTCCCTCCCTTGGATATCCCCTTGGAGAGATGGGTCAGGGTCTCCCCTCACGAAGCCACAGCCAAAAGGAATTTCACCAATCCACAACATGGAGCCCTCGGGGTAGAGCCAGCACAGGGACAGCACTGCTGTCCCCAGGCAGCCCTTCCCACCTCAGACAACCTGTCCCCAAGCAGGTTTTCCACTAGGAAAACCCTCCATTGGGTTTTCCCCCCACTTTTCCTATTTATCCCTAGAGAATCAGGCTGATCCCTGCCATGGGCAGGCACTGAGGGGCCTGAGGTTGGTGTTTGCAGGCCCTGCTGTGCCCCACAGTCACCCCACAGCCCTGGGAGCCGTTGGGAAGACGCTGCACCACAGCCAGACTCCGGGAAGGGATGATGGATGCTGCAGCCACAGCCATCAGGACTAAACATCCTCCCAAGCTGAACATGGAGTCAATCACCCCATTATTTAAAATGCTGAGAGCAGGCACAAGCCAAGGGGAAGAATGAATTTTTAATATTCCAATTTGCTTTTAGAAAACAGATTATGCACCGAGCTGGCACCCCCGTCCGTCAGCCCGAGGGTTCCTGGCAGCCACAGGCCAGAGCCAGAGTGATTCCTGCTCCCATTAATTTAGAAAACAAACTGGTACTGTGGGCAGAGCAGGAGCTGGGAAATGCTTCCTCACAGCCACCTTCCAACTACCACATCTAATTAATTGTTTGTTTACCGTCCTGACGCTCCTAGGCAGCAACTTGCTCCCAAAGGAATCAGAATTTTGATTGATTTCCAAAGGGAAATTTCAGTCAGGAAAAAAAAAACAAACCAAAACAATTAAGGGCAGACAGGGAAGGTCCAGAGGGTGAGAGTCCTCCATGGACACAGACCCAGCAGCCATTCCCTCGACCAGGGCCTTGTGCAGGACAGGGTCTGGGACTCGAGGCAGCAGGACCCACATTATCCAGGCCCAGCAGCTGGATCCATGTATACAGGAATAGCTCAGACAGGAGCATCCCGGGGAGTGTGGGGCGATGCTGCGGGAAGGGGATGAATCCCAAATCCACCCCACAGCACCCCAGGCTGGCTGTACCCCAAAGCTGGGCTCTCATCTGAATGGGGGCACTTTGGGGCGACTCCTCCTGCCCACGCGGCTCTGCCCGGCCCGGCCGCTGCTCTGCCCCTGCCCTCCCGCCCCAGCACGGGGAGCCTGGGAAATACTGGCCCTTTAAGAGCTCAGCACAAGGTGTGCTGGCCCTTTAAGAGCTCAGCATGAGGTGCACTGGCCCTTTAAGAGTTCCCCACAAGGTGCGCTGGCCCTTTGAGAGCTCAGCACAAGGCGCGGTGACTCTTTAAGCACCCGCGCAAGGCGCGCTGACTCTTGACGAGCTCAACAAGAGGCGCTCTGGCCCTTTAAGGATTTAAACGCTCACGGCGCGGCCCCTTTAAGAGCGCGGCTCTTTATCGGCCCCCCTGGGCCCGGGTGCCGCCGCAGCGAGAGGGGCTGTGTCCACCACAGCACCCCGGTGTCTCCAGCCCCGTGCAGGTGCGAGGAGCGGCAGGGAGGGAAGGAGGGAGGGAAGGAAAGAAGGAGGAGGGAGGGACGGACGGACTCACCGGGCCGGGCCGGTCCCGCTCCCGCCGCAGGGTCCGCGCCTGCCGTCCCCCGCTCCCGTCCGCCGCGCGCGGGGCCGGGCGGCAGCGGGGCCGCGCTCTTTGGTTCCGGGGGGCGCTGCGACCGCACTGCAGCTCAATTTTGGGGAGGAATTCGGGCGGGCGGGGAGCGCCCGCGTTCGCTGCTGAAAGAGATGAAACCTTCGAGACTGAGTTTCTTGATATCGGTTTCAGGCACAAATACAGCAGCCGGTTTCCTTGCCCAGGTGCGATTTTAATGGGCTTTGCTAACGAGCAGCCCATGAGCCGTGTGCCAATGGCACCCCCAGCCAAAGATCCAGCGGGTCCCTTGCGAGGGCTTAAAATAACACCCTGTACCCGCTCACGTCCAGCCTTTCCCAGTTCTCGATGCGATTATCCACGTGCTCTAATTACTGCAGGGAACAAGTGAATGAAACAGCCCCTTACAAATCCAGCAGTCTCTGTGCACATCATATACAATTAATTTGCTACAGAGGCAAATGCGGCCACCAAATCAAAACATATTTTGCTTCTTTAATTTGTTTTGTAGGTGTGAGAGTCCCAAGCTTTCAGCCAGCTGGAAGTAGGACAGGGGAAGCACTTGACTCTCCTAATCCATCATCTGTTGAGGGATGTTGGTGCCAAATTAAGAAGCCCCAGGTCTGCCTGATGCACCCAGCTTGGGAGAATTATTTTGTATTTTCACTTGCTCATATAACTAAAGCAAAGGGAGTTAAATGTAAAGTTTTGCTGTGGTGCAGGTGGCTCCCAGAGCTTTGTCTCTGTTTCTGCCTACTGGAAATTTGTGCTCAGAAGAGCTTGTGGAAGCCTGTGGAAATCCTCTCAGCCACCCTGTGGGATCGGCTCTCCCTATATATTGCTCCTGATGGATTCTTCTGAGTGCGGGCTAGGCAAACCTCCAGTAATAATGCTTCCCTGCCATTCCCAGCAGCCTATTGTGAATCAGCTGGATCTCATTTCTGAGCAGATCCTTCTCTGTCACTCAGCAATAAAAAGCTCTTCCCCTGCCCCTGGAAGAGGACAGGAGACCACTGAGAACAGCAGAGAGTGGTAAGTGTAGGGCTTTAATCACCATTCCTTCCCATTTCCAGCAGGACCTGGGATGCTGCTGTTGGCACAGAGGCCAAGGAGCTTCAGGTGTTTTCCCTGTACACCTGAAAATATTTACAGAGTCTCTGTAGTGCACCAAAGTGTTGGGGCTTTCTCTGTCTTACAGTCCTGCAGCCCGAGAGTGAGCCCTGGTGAGCTGAGTTCCAGCTCTCCAAGCTCCCCTAACCCTGGCAGGGCTCCTTTTCCATGGTGAGAGCTACTTCTTACAGGACTCCTGCATCCATCAGTCTGTTAGTGCAGTCTGAGAGGTCAGAGAGGAGCTTTAGGCAACGTGGTCTGCAGAAATTGTGTTTTCCCATCCCCTACCACAGGGCACAGACATCCTCAGTCTCGGGCACGTCCTCTTCCACGGTTCCTGTGAATCCATCCCCAAATCCCTCTGCTTCCACCAGCTGGGGTTTGCTGTTGCACATGGGGCAGAGCTCGTTTCGGATGAGGGATGATCTCATCCACACGATGAGGTTCCAGCGCTCCCCGGAGCCGATGGGAAGTGCCCCATGGATCTGCCCTCCCCGGTGGAGCAGCCCCTGGGCTCCCACGTGTTCCACCTCCAGGTACTTCGGCACAGGACTGGGATCCTGGAACAAAGGGAGGTGGATTCATAATTGCACCAGAAAGTACCTGGCAGAACAACACTCACATAGTTGACACTTATCACCTTTTCCCCCAGGGAGCAACATGGAGAGGACAAACTGCACCTCTGAAACACTTCAATGGTGGCTTGGCAGCAGATGGGTACAACTGTTTTCCAGTAAGACATACCCAGTTTCAATCGAAACAACCTGTTTCACCTGTGTTTCAGAGCTTTTACCCTCTCTTGCCCTAGAAACAGGTGCTACAGATTTAGCTTTAAGTCTCATTTGAAATAAATCTCTCTCTCAGGACCTCCCTGCTCACTGTTTCAGCTGTGGAAAGATGGGCTGGTTTGTTTACTCCAACTTCTACTACAAGCTGCCTCTGTGCTCTCTTTGAAACCTGAATATTGGAACAGAAAAGGCTTCTGTATAACCAAAACATGTAAAAAAAGAGGGAAGGGGCAGAGCAGGTTTGACTGTCAGAAATGAATAATTGTGTTTTGGAACGCAGTTTATGCCTTGAAACTGGGGGGGTGTGAGGAGGTAGAGGGGAATGGAATGGGGGTCCAGAGTGGGAATGTGCTCAGTACCTTGTAGAAATCCCCAAAGTACAAGTTGCCTTCTGTGAAGTCTTTCCCCAGTGAGACATTTAAGGTGACTTCTGCATTGTCATAGTGGGAGCTCAGATCCAGGTCCTCGTGCAGGGAGTACTTGACCACAAAGGCTCTGTGGCTGTCCAGGTAGAATCCCCCCAGCTCAGGGTACAGCAGGGCCGTGATGGGCCGCAGGAACTGCTCCCTCAGGGGGGTCAGGAAGCCTTCATCCATCCCAAGCTCGTTCAGCAAAACCTATGTCAAAGAGAGGAGGTGGGAACACCTGAGCAACATCATCAGAACTGTCCTCCTCCTCCTCCTCCAGCCCTGCTGCTGGCTCAGAGCAAGAACTTTAGAGCAAAGGCTCCAGCTACAGGAGAAAGCAGGAAGATCAAGGTGGAAAGGGATGGGGGAAAGACAGAGCAAGATCAAAAGGTGAGTGTTCTTTAAAAACTGACTCCTTGATTTAAATGGGTATTGCTTAAAAATACAAGGTGCTCTTTGCTCTGAGGTACCAACTCCCATCCCCTTTCCCTGCATTCCCATGTCCTTTTGTCAGTGTAACATTCCCTCAACCCTTTCCCTCCAAGGGGGTACTGGAACTCCAACTGCTCTGTGTAAAATGACAGACACTTTGGAAGTGAAAGGAGAAGTGAGGAGGTGAACAGAGTGAACACTCCCCCTCAAGAAGCACAGGAGACAAATCCTACCCCGTAGTTATTCATGGTGTTGGGCCTGCCTTTGGGCATATCCGACTGCTCAAAGTTCTCCAGCTCATCCACAAAGGTCTGGCAGAACTCCTCTGTGAACACTGGGAGTCGATAGATCCTCTTATCTGTCAGGAGAAGGGAGACACCATTTGCTGGGGAAGATCACAGGTGAGTGTTCCTGCCTGCCTGTCCAGCTCCACTGTGCTGGTGGCAGTGAGAGCACAGGACCCTTGTGCTTCACTTTGTGCTCAGGCTGCTTGAAGGGCTGGAACCATTCCCCAGGATGTATTTGTTATTTTTCATGTTGGTCCCTCGTTTCCAGGCTCACCCATCCAGTCAGGAGATCTGGCACTGGTTTAAATGCCAGATGTAGTGCCAAGGAAGTGTTTTGAGTCTGGAGGGAGGGTGGTGAATCAACGACTCATCACAGGCAGGCTGGAAAGACACTCAAGGTCATTTAGGGGCTGTGGGACTCACTCATCTGGTGCCAACCTTCTGGGAATACCAGGTCTGAGCTGCCTCTCAGGGTAGAGCCCTAAAGGTCTGTGTGAAGGGAGCTCAGGACTGAAGATACAGAAGCTGAGATTAAGACAGCAGGAGAAGGCTGGAAATCGTGCCTTGGACAAGTTCAGGAGCTCTGCACAGACACATTTGGGTCTCTTTTTGTCTTGAGAAAAGGAGGAAATTTTGTCAGCATTTCTGGTAGGCAGAGAGCTTCACAGATCCCTCCAGAGAAGCTTAAAACCCAGAGTTCTTTTTAGAAGACTGAAATTATTTCAGCCCAGACTAACCCACAGGGATTGTCTGAAATGGCAAAGCACTTGGGAAGGGAAAAACAAGCTCCCCAGGCTAACAGTGTTCCTTCAGGCTCCCTGGTGAGGTGGTGGCACAGCCAAAAGCCCCAGCCCTGCTGCAGCTGAAGCCTCTGGTGAGACATCAGCAGACTGGGATGGGAAGGCAGAAAAGAGTGTCTGCTCCAGAGCAGAACTGCTGCACAGCACTGCCCCTCCAGAGACCCCTGTCAGGCAGAGAATAACATCCTGTTTGCCTCAGCCTGTGTCAAATCTGAGCTACTAAAGACAGGGCTTGGGAACAGCTGTCACCAGGGAAGCTGCAGTGTCACACAGGGAGATCTGTGTGACTGAGGTGTTGTTTCCTTTACCTGAGAAGGACTCGAGGTAGCCCAGGAGGCCCTGGAGATGAGCTCCCGGCGATGTGCAGTATCGCACGATCTCCAGGAAATCTGGGGCCAGGAAGGAATCCTGGTGTCAAGGGAAGGAGGGAAAAAAAACACAGAAACACAATTAGCCAGTATAGCCTTTTATGGCCCCAGAGAGAAATGGATTTCCAGCGAGCCACAGGGAAATGTGCGGTCTCTAGGGAGAGGGCTCATAGTCACACTGGGGTTACTTCTACGGCAGGAACTGCAGAATGTTCCTGTGTTTTACTTGGAGGTAAAGTTTGAGGGTTTCTACATAAAACTGGCCAGATTTTTTATAGGTATGACAGGAAAGAGCCTGGCTCACTATATGGATTCCTAACAGGTAAGTGCAAAATCTTTCCTAGTGGATTTTTAGCCTCTTGTCATGGAATCAGCACAACGGAGTGACTTGGCTCTGCTTTGAGCACTTCCCCACACTGATGATAACAAACAACAGCAGCACTTATTGCTGGAGGATCACAGTAAATCTGTGTGAACTTGGTTGTGCGTTACTGCTATCTGTGGGAACTATCCAGCTGGGAAGTCTTGAGTCTGGCAAGCATGAGGAAATTCAAAGCAAAGTAGCCCATAAAGGCTGTTTTCTGTGGCTCCTCATTAGACCTGACCGAGCCCGACCGGTGCAATGATGCTTTATGTTTAAATTACTAATGGTATTTCGAGTCCAGTACCAGGTGCTGGAGCAGCTTCCATATGGAATGACCCTTTCCTGGCTGTATACCAGGTGGAATCTTGCCTGGAGAACATGCTGTGCTGTCAAAGTTTTAAATTCAGTTTTAATATGCTACACGCAGGTTTAAATTCCGTCCAGCTTTAGCACTGCATGATCCCGAGGAGAAGAGAGAAAAATAAACTGCAAAAATAAACTCTCAGGTAATTTCTTGGGTGCAAAAGAGACTCTAAACACACTGTACCTGCAGAGTGTACACCTCTGGGTGTTTGGGTTTGTAGCACTTGGAGATGATGGCTCTGCGTTCCACTGACTGATGGACTAACTGTTTTCTTCTCTGCACTTCTGCCTCAATCTGCAAATAAACAACAGAGCATATTGTGAGAAAATCTAAAGGGACAACTAAAACAATTCCAGGAATTTGCTCATTGTTTTAAACTAGTTGTTTTTGTTTCAGGCACCTCTGGGAAGCAGAGTCTGTGCTTTTGTTTTTCTGTAGTCAAGACAAGTCCAATAAATATCTGAGAAGACAAATGCCTGAGAGGGTTTGGAGAGACTTTCTCTTTACAGATGGCTTAAAAAATAACTGAAGCCTTTCTATGGAAGTGCCAAGTGGAGCTGTGAGGTTTCAGCCCTTTCAGGCATCCTGACACCTCCTGAATCGTCAGCAGAGCCTTTAAGAGCCTTGGCTTGTGTTCTGACAATATAAGCATTGTCCAAAATAAAGACACTTGCTGGGAGGGAGACAAGTCTTGTCATGAAGGGATTACTGCTAAGTGTGGTGGAGACAGGCTAATCTGTCCTTTCAGAGCAAACAGCTGTTTTAGCAGCTGATTCAGCCAGCTCTTCCTGTTTAATTCCCCCTCATGAGATTAATTTATAACATTCCTCACTAAAGAAGGAAGGAGGGTGTGACCAGTTCCCCTCCTGACCCCTGGTTAGCATCACTAATGCATTTTATGAGGTGAGCAGCCATTCTCTGCTCATCTGTTCATTCCCTTTCCCTCATTATCAGGCCCTGAAGGTCTTGTGAAGCAGACAAACCAAACAGGTTCCTTCTCCTCCTCCTTCCCAGCCTCAAGGCCAATCACTCCCTTCCTTGCTGGCCTTGAAGGGCCCAGTCCCCCGGACACCAGGTGCTGTTGGTGACCTTGACAGGGAAGAGGGAACAGGGAACTGTAACAGCCCCCAGCACTGCCTATAAAATCAGGCAGTACAAGTCCTAAGTGGGAAACTTGGACTGGAACAGCTGCTGGACAGTGAGAGCTGTGACCTCCCACAGCCAGGGACACCTCTGATGGCAGGAGACATACTCCTCTGAGGGCTCAGTGAGTAAATCCTATTCTTTTATATTATTTTTGAGTCTACGTTATGTTTACATTGATACAGCAAACCTTTGTATTAAGATCTTAGCAGATTTGCAGAGTCCAGGTGATTAGGGAGTTATTAGGATCTAGGTGATATTAAATTACAACTGAAGTTTGAATCTAGAAATCCTGAGAGAAGTTGTATTATAAATTCTGCTTGTTGTGCTCCATTGATTCTGCCTGTAGAAAACCTGTGCTGTCCTACTCATAAATTCTGTGCTATATGAATCATAATATCCTGTTCATAAAGCTTTAATTATGATTTACTGCCATCATCACTCTGCCAAGAATCCCTAAAGGAACCTGTCTCTCCTCCAGGTGAAATTAGAGCTGGTTGTGTGACAGATCTCTGTCCCTGGCCTGGGAAGGGGCACAGATTCCTTAATAAAGGGTGTCCTGGGGGGAGTGTGAACCTGTAGGACCCCTGGGTGATCCCATCTCAGGGCACCCTTTAAAAATAACTGGCAAAAGAAGGGACAAGGAAAGGCAAACCAGAAGGGGCTGGGAGCCAGCTGACTAAATCCAAGAGGGAGCAGCACAGAGGCCACTGGGACAAAGTGCTGGGTGACAGTATTTAATTCCAGGGTGTTGGCTGTGTAAACACCTCCCTGACAGTGCCTGGGGAGAATTCTTCCCTCTGGCCTCTGTACAGCACCTGGGTCCACTGGGATGAGGTGCTGGGGAGCTGTGACCCAATTCTGTCTGGGCTTGTGGCTTCAGCAAGTCCCAAACTCCCTTTGGAGTTGAGCCCAGCCCCAGGACCTCCAGGGGTGTGGAAATGCCCCTGGGGTCCCAGCACAGGAAGGACATGGAGCTGTTGGAGAGAGAAGTCACCACGGTGATCAGAGGGCTGGAGCAGCTCTGCTGTGAGGGAAGGCTGAGAGAATTGGGATTGTTCAGCCTGGAGAAGAGAAACTCTGGGGTGACCTAATTGTGGATTTTCCATACCTGAAAGAACTACAAGAAAGATGGAGAAAGACTGTTTACAAGGCTCTGAAGTTGAGAACAAAGAGGAATAGCTTCACACTAACAGACAGTTGGGTTAGATGGGATGTTAGAAATTCCTCCCTGTGAGAGTGGTGAGGCCCTGGCACAGGTTTCCCACAGAACCTGTGGCTGCCTCATCCCTGGAAGTGTCCGAGGCCAGGTTGGACAGGGTTTGGAGCAACCGGGGCTAGTGGAAGGTGTCCCTGCCCATGGCAGGGGGTGGAACACGATGACCTTTAAGGTCCCTTCCAACCCAAACCCTTCTTTGCCCCGAATCCCCCTCCCGGCAGGCGTGAAGGGGGTCCCCGCGCTCACCTCCCTCAGCACTGCCTGGAACTGCTCCTCGCTCCGGCAGCCGCGCTCCTGCAGCGCCTGCAACACAGGGGACACCGCCGTCACCCGGTACCGCCCGTGTCACCGGGCAGGACCACCCGCCCACCCCGATACCGGGGGAGACCTTCCCGGCCGCGCTCCCGGAGCAGCCCCGCCCGCCCCCGGCCGTGCCCGGCCATGCCCCCGGTGGTACCCGGCCGTGATCCCGGCGGAGCTGCCGCCGGTCCCGGTACCGCACGTGGAGCCCGTAGCGGCCCACGAAGATGTTGTCGGTGAAGAAGCAGGCGCACGCCAGGAACGGCCGCGCCCCGGACATGTTTCCCGCCGGCGCTGCGCGCGCGGGGTCCGGCCCTCAAAACGGCTCCGCTTCCTCCCGCGCGAGGGCGCGTCGGCAAATTCCCAACCGGGGCGGAAAACGGGGAGAGGCGAAAAGCGCCCGGTTTTTCCCCCAGTTTTGTGCCTTTTTTTTTGCAGTTGTTTTTCATTTGCGCTTTCCGTGACGTCACCGCGGGTGGGTTCCGCAGCGGTGCCGCCGCCGCACGGCCCTTTCCGCCGGGCCGGGCCGGGGCCGCCAAGGGGTGTTTGCAGACGGTCCCTGGGAACACCGCCCCGGCCGGCGGGGGCGCGCACGGGGGCGCGCCCGGCGGGGTCAGCGCGGCCCCGGCCCCGATCCCGATCCTGGCCCGGCCCGGCCATGGACGCGGCGCTGCCCGAGGCCGAGCGGGAGGTGGTGGTGGCGGCCGAGCCCTGCGGCCACGGCAGCAAGTTCGAGGACATCTACCGGCTGCTGGCCGAGGGCTGCTTCCCGCCCAGCTTCTGCTCCATCAAGAGGAAGAACCTCAAGCGCTACGCCCAGAAGTTCGTCGTGGACGGTGGGGACCCTGGTGGGGGGCACCTCGGCCGTGGCATCCCCCCGAGGGATCGGGCTGGGGAGATGCCATGGGAGGGATGCGCCGGACCCGCGGCTGGGGAGGGGATGTGGCTCCTTGGCAGCCGTGGGATGCACCGTGACTGCCTCCATCACTGTCACCATCGCTGTCACCATCGCTGCCGCCCCCCTGCTGTGCCATAGCGTCATTTCTGGGGCGCAGGGTGGGGATTGTGTCACCGCGGGTGGCACCGGTGCCCCGTGGGGACCGCAGTGGTTTTATTGTAGCAGAGGATTTCGCGCAGCCCTGCCTGCAGAAAAGCTCTCCCTGGGCTTGTTTAGGGGTGTTTCCAGGTCAGCAGCTTCTCCAAGGGCTCTGCAGGAGCTCCCAAGGCAAAAAACCCCGGTGTCGTGTCTCTCTCCCGTGTTTCCCACTGTGGAAAATGAGCCTTTTTCTGGGGCTGAGCAGCTGGAGTGGCGTGAGAGGGGGGTGTTGGACACAAACCTCTGGTGCCCACAGGTGGCTGCCTCTACTACGTGGGGCCCAAGAAAGAGGAGAAGCGGGAGGTGATCGTGGATCCCGAGCGGAGGCGGCAGGTCTTCCTGGAAAGCCACTTCACCGAAATTGGGAACCACCTGGGCCAGAAAAAGACCGTGCACCGGATCCAGAGCCGATATTACTGGCTGGGGATTGTGAAGGATGTCGTGGACTGGGTGAGTTGAGAGCACTGACCGTGTCGGTGACACCGGTGCTGGCAGCAGTCCTAAGTAAGCAGCTCCAGGAGTGCAGGGGTGATGTAATCTCTAGTGCCTGCTGCTTTGAAACCACAAACTGAGTAACTCTGCAGGTGAATCTTGGAATGCCCCGAGGCAGCTGGATTGTTTAGATGTCTTTCCCTCAGCGTCAGGAAGCCTCCTGGTGCAGGGCAGTTTTGGCCAGCATGGGAACGTGGGATTGTTTCAAACAAGTAGCTGAGCCCAGCTTTGGATTGCTCCCAGAGCTGCCCAATTCTCTAAATTATGGTAAGGGGAGGATTTCAGTGTTTCCACTGGCTCTGCTCAGCTGCTTTGCCTCACCTGTTCTGTTGCTGGCAGTCTCCTGCAGCAGGGCTCTGCAGCAGTGTGGTTTGGAGAAGTGTGGTTGCATTACATGGTCTGAGCTCCTCCGGCATCCTTGGGCTGATGATTTTTCTAACCAGCAGTAGGAGGTTAAAATGCAATAAATATCTGCCTGGAAACAGGGTGAGAAATAGCTTAGCTGTAGGCCACGTTGAGAAAATTGGTTATTGTGTCAGAGGAAGCTGTCAGGTGAGTTTTGGGAGAGGTGAGACGTGTCAGCCTGTTGTGTTTCGTCCTCTTTTTCCTGTGCCTCACTGTTTTCATTGGGTAGAGGGAAGCTGCTCAGCCCTGCTGAGTGTCTCACCCCTTCATAATCCGTGCAGTCTGAGTCTGACAGAATCCATCAGCATATTTCTAAGCCTTTTGATCTGCCTTTTCCCTTTCCAGATCAAAATGTGTGAGACCTGCCAGAACGCCGAGCACAACAAGAATGTGTCGCGGAAAGCACGGCCCGTCAGGGTGGAATCTCCCTGGGAAGTGCTGGGATTAGACATTCACGGTGAGTGTGTGTGGCTGGCGGGCTCTCCAGGGCTCCAGGAGCGTGGCAGACCTGCTGCCACACACCGGGAGTGAGAGCTGCCTGTGGGGAAGTGCCAAGGAGGCCAGGGTGCAACCTGATCCCTGTGCTTGGCTCGGCTCCCTCCCCACACACAATGGGAGCTGTGGGCGTGTGTTACTTCCCAGAACTGAAGCTCTGATGGGTGTATTTTTGCTGACAAAGGTCACCCAAATGTTCTGGCCAGATGACATTGCAGAAGGGAGTTGTGGTGCAGCAGTGGTTTTGCTGGGCTGGGTTTTTGACTGTGCCCATTTGGGTGATATTACGGCATCACATTGATTTTTTGGGTGGTTGTTTGCGCAGGTCCTTTTCCCGAGACGAGTCAGAGCAACACACACGTCCTCCTTGTGACTGACTACTTCACCAAGTGGGTGGAGGCTGCTCCTCTGCAGAAGAAAGATCCCTTATCCGTGGCTAAAGCCCTGGCTGCCATTTTTTACAGGTGGGCTCCTCTGTTGTTGGTTACATTGCACCTTTGCAGTGAGATGGGGAGTGCTGGGATCTGTGTTGAAAAAGTACTCAGTGTCCTCAAGATGTTTCCCCACGAGAGCAGGAACTCTCCCTTCTACAGGAGAGACCATGCAGTGCCTCTCAGTTGCTCTTTATAGAAGAGCCTGTTATCCTCATTACAGGGAGGGGAGAAAGAGGCAGAAGTGGCTCTCCGAGTAGCCCCGAGGCCAAGAGAGCTGTGCCCCAGTTCTCTGCAGGAGCTTTAAAGCCATTCCCTCATCCCTCCTGGAAAGTGTTCATTTTGCATTCACACGGCACACGCCACCACGTGACATTGTCCTTGTGGAAAACTCATGGGGCCAGTGGAGATTTGCATTCAGAGCAAGAAACTTCTCTTGTTTCTCCTGCTGCCCTATCATTCAAAGGCAAACAGGCTTGGCTGGTTTGGAACAGATGGAGCCAGCAGACCCCTCTCTGCTCATGGGGAAGTGGGGTCACGCCAGCCTCATTAGCACCAGCCCCACTGGAGGGTCTCTGTCCCTTTCATATCTCATTTGCATCCATGAAGAGCAAAATTCTCTGGCTCTGCCTCAGCTGATGGAATAAAACCAGTTGTGTGTCCTCTACTTGTTCAGGTTTGGTGCATCCAAGAACATTTACACCAGTCAGAGCTGGGACTTCTGTGAGGAGGTAGGTCAGGGGCTGGGTGGTTCAGGGAGAAGCCACATGACCTGCAGCAGGTTTTTTGGGCAGCAGGTCCTGAAGGCAGAGTTGCAATGTGCCATGTAGTGGGGGTGAGGAGCTAATGGTGCCTTATCCCTGCCCCAGCTCTGTTGGAAGTGGGAGGTGATTTGCCAGGTGATTTTCACCCTGGCAGGGATTTAAGGCAGTGGTTCTGTGGTGCAAGTCCTCCAGCCTCTCTGCTGAGAAGGAAAGGTCCCGTGAGACCGTGTGCATGAAATCCTGCCCTACCCTGGGATTAACCCAGCTTCACAGTGCTGTGGAAAGCTTCAAGTGTAGAAACAGTCATTGCAAAACCTTTTCTCAGGCTCTAACTTTTCTGGAGAGCTGTTTGTGCTATGCAGCATCCCCTGGCATGGGGAGGGGGCACAGTGCCAGGCCCATGTCGTGGGGGCTGTGGAGGCTGCTGTGGTGCTGACTTGCCGTGTTCTCCGGCGGGCCTGGCCCCACCTTTGCAGGTCAGCCGGCAGCTGTGCGAGCGCTGGAACATCTCACAGGTCCTCACCCCTGCAGACCCCACTGACAGCCTGGATGACCCCAGTGCTGAGGTGCTCAGGTCCTCCATCTGCAACGTGGTGAACGAGAAGCCCGGCGAGTGGGACGCCCACCTGGACCCCGTGCTCTTCCATTTCCGCACCTCGGTCAACTCAGCCACCAAGTACAGCCCCTTCTTCCTCATGTTCAACAGATACGTGTGCCTGTCCTCAGAGGTAACTGCTCGGCCCAGGAGAGTCTGGCAGGAGGTTTGTCACTGGTGTGGTTACAGAGTAACACCCAAATCTGTACCTTGCAGGTGGATTTTGTCAAGGACTCTAAAGAGCAGGGGTCTGGTAAAGCCAACGGCCTCCCGCCCTTCACAGCCACGGTGCAGGAGAAGCAGAACATGGTGAAAGAAATTGTAAGTTTTGTGGTGCCTTGAAATCATTTTGCAGCCAAGTCCAGGGCAGGCCTGAGAGGAGAGGTGGCAGGTGGCACCTCGATGTGGTCCAAGGGCAGCAGGAGCAGAGCTGGACCCTCTGAGGCAGCACCACAGGGAAGCTGGTGGTGTTGCTGCTCAGAGTGGGGTGACGAAAGAGGAGGGACTGGCTTTCCCCATCAAGAGCTGTGTTCCAGCCTGCCCAGCTCTCTGCCTTGTAATCTGCATCTCAAATCAGCCAAAGGACTCTCTCCTCAGGCAGGGACAAGGAGCCTTCAGGGACACGCTGTGTAATTACAAAGGTTAAAAGAAACCCTGCCTCAAAATGGGAGGAGTTTGGGGCTGCCATGAGGACTAGTGGCCCAGTGGGCAAGGAGAAACAAGGTCACCATTCACTTCCTGACTGTCTCTGACATGCTGAGTGACCTTGGACAGCTTGTTTAGTCTGTTTCTTGGTTTCCTAACTTTAAAAATTACCTCAGTGTCCCCTGTAAAGGGCTTGGTGAGCTGTGTGCCAAAAAATCACAGCCAGGGCTCAAGTGCTTTGTTTGCTCGGTCATTTCTTACACCCAGGCAGGGTTATGTGGTTCTCTGTGAATCACCTGGACTGTGATTCTTCTTGCCAGGGAATAACAGGAGTAATATGGGGCAGGAGGGAGGAGGCCTGGGAGCTGAATATGTGGGATCCATTCCCAGCTGATCCCTTTGGCAGCTCAGGCTCACTGGCTTGGCTGCCTTGTGAAATGGAGATGCACATTGTGGCACATGGCAGGG